ATTTCGCATTGGATTAATCATCAGCTTCCATGTGAGGATGTTCATGGAGTCCCCATACCCATATATCTCCTTTTACTTGCGTGGATCCCCTTCCTTTCGGATCAGATCTAATTGAAAGATCAGATCACATCTCCTTTCCCCAGATCTCGAAGATATTCCTCACTTCTTAGGTACCTCTTTTCTCCGCGATCCCCGTTGCTCTTGTGGAGTTCCCTCAGTTTCAATGATTCTCCTTTCTTCTCAGGAATCTCAATCCCTCATGGAGATCATATCTTTCTGCTGAAAATCCTCTCCTCCAGCGGAAGATCCTCGCTCTCATCCGGGAAAACCTTTCGGTTGCAGTGAGTGCTCTTTCTCCTTAGAGACCACTCTCCCTTGGGGAGAACTTCTGTCACTCCCGGGAATTCCTCTTCACCCCAAATAATGCGACAGGAGAGGCACCTAGAGCTGCAAATTCATGCTACACACCAAGGGGAAGGCGAGATCAAGGAAGGAGGAAGGTGATTTGGTGTGCAGGAAGTACTCAACAATGGAGGGGGCAGAAAAAAAAAGGATGGGGTTATTGTATGAGTCACCTGAGAACACCTTCTCTTCATTGAAACAAGAACGTTTGCTGTTTTTAATGAACGGGCTAGAACAAGGTCCCCATTAGGGCCTATTTTTAAGTCGTTGATCAGTTTGAATTAGCTGTGATCTTAACAGCGAAATACAAGTCGGGGGACCCGAGAGTAATCCCGTGCACAGTACTTTCAGAACACTGCTTGCTGAAGTGGTGTACGAAATCGTAAAGCAATGCTTCGAACTGGATTTCACTGACGACGATTTGAGAGATCCCATTGCGGTTCTTAACCCGAATGTGACTAGGAACAGTTTTCGCGACGAGCGATTTTACACGAACTTCGAATATTCGAAAGGTTGCAGCGAATTTGCTCTGTGGCAATATGCGAAAAGCTGCAAGTGATATGTTATATCGTTGATTGGGGGATCTGGTGAGATTTAGTGAACAGTTCTTTCTGTGATGACTGGATGTTTGAGGATCAGCTCGTCGTCAGTGTTGTGTGATTCTCATCCATGCCATATTCCAACTGTCGAATCGATAGCGGAGAGCATGCATTTTTGAGGGAAACGGTTTCCGTTGTATTTGTCTACGAGAGGATATTAATAACAGTTTGGCGAGCAAAAATATTGATGGTTGACTGAATGACATTAATTTCCATAGTGTTCAAGATAAGGGTGATGATGATTATGATGATGACGATGGTAAATATTCAAGGACTTTTCAGTATCGTTGAAATGGCATTCTGCAGGTATTCACCAGAAATGGAGATGTCAGTGCCAGATCCAGACGATTTAATGGATGCTCACGTGGAAGAGCCGTTGGAAGAGCATGAATACGATATAAGCAATGGTAACGAAATGGATGACGACTATGGTCCATCAAATGTATCGCCGGTTCCGATTGCTTCACATGATGAAAGTTTGTTGTCAATTTTTTTCATTTAAGAATTTATTTATTCCGAAATTTTCTTATCATCGAATTATTTAAATTCAAATTGCATAAACGCATGCCACAAACTCATCAGTTGAGGTTAATAAGCCAATGCTGAAAAACCGTAGTGTGTTGGCTGTGTGAGCGAATAATTTTGGAAATTATTTGAAGATATGATGAGAGCAGAACGATTGCAGTCACCGCAGATGGTCAATAGTATCCCATTCGAATTGGAACAACTCACTGCTAATTACAAAGGTATTTTGTTGTTGCCTCATAGAATCTGTTCAATTTTATGTGTGCATGAAATCCAATGATGTCTTGATTCGTATATATTAACCTGAAATTGGACCAGTATCGTTGCATATTTCAGGATATGCTTTAATGAACAGACTGTTATTTGTTGCGGACAACTGTCCACCGATGCGAAAGGATGCCCTACTCACACTCATCAGTTACGTTGTTGAGGCATGTTCTGCTTATTGAATAAGTTGTTCCGTTTTGGCATTCTTTTTTTGCCAAATTATCTAAAGTAGAATTATTTTGAATGAAATTCTCAACTTAATGGCCATTTGTTATCCACATATTTAGGTTAGTCACTTGTTTTGATAGTAACGTCTGACTATTCACTTATGATTTAGACAACTTGGAAGAATTTAGCATTATCTTGCTATAGAAAATATTGCAGAGTTATCCAATCCATTGATTCATTTCCTCTTCATTTTTTCATGCTTCAGTTTCGTTTGAAGTCTGATAAGAAGTATGAATTGATGCGTTGCTTCTTGGTGCTATTCTACGTTCAACTCGCTGTCGTATTTTTAGAACACATCGAACGTTCCGATGTATATGACGGCTTATAATCGGTTGGATAACTTGAAAGCTTTTGGGAATGGAACAAATATTGGTAACGCAACAAGCACTCAAGAAGACTCGGCCACGTCGAGCAATGGCCATTCGTCAGGCATGCAGTCCGCTGCTGGAGGCTTGCCGCAGTGTATCGATTCGCAATGGATCGAAACAACGAATGCAAAAGCACAAGCAAAACTTGAGATTTTATCCGCCGATTTCAAACGACAAAAGGATGAGGGCGTCAAGGTAATTGATGGTAGTTCCCCGATTCAGATAAAAAAGTCTTCAGTTAAGATCGCAAAACTTTTTGAGATAGTGGTGTTGGGAGGAAAGTAATTGTTGATTGATTTCCTAAAGCTAAATAAGTGTTCAGTTCGTTGATTGATATGAACAAAAATTCATTCAAATGANTCAGCTCTGAGCGCTAATTGTACGAAATTAAGATGTTGCTGAACTGGATCGAAGTGACAATTCATTTATCCCAATGGCATCGTGTTGAACCACTTATGACCCAAGTTGAACGAGCTATTTGTGAGTTTCACTTTTCATTCGTTTGTCTCTGTCATCGTTCATTGTTGATTGCAGTCGACAAGGATTAAGCATACGAATTTTGCATGACATCTGTTGGATTGATCACCAGGGTTGTGGTGGTTATATGGTGATGTGTAGTGTGATCACCATATAGTCTGATAACGCGAATGAGATTAGAAGCAATTCAAGGTGAGGCAGTTGAATCGGAATCTGTGGCAGTTTCGTCCTCTTCACGTTCGGTTCGATACGCAATGAATGCATCGCAGTCGGCTGGACGATCTCTTAAGCAACTCATTCAAACGTCGAAGGCGAAAATCGCAGCCGTGATAGCGCTTTATCGTCTTAATACGAACAACTATAAGGCAGTTGCTGAAAAGTGCCTACAGGTATATTTTTTTCTGTTGTTTTTTTTGTTCGACATCACATCTTTGATTGACTCTGTTGTGAATGTCATTCACTTGCTTCAAGTGACTGTTCGAACTTACAAATGTGAATGCAAGCGATGTGGAATGATGACGTTGTAAGAAAGAATTTTTGATAAAGTTGTTTTTGTACTGCGGAATGAACGTTGAAAGAAGGGGATTGAAAACGACAGTGATTTGTCATTGGTATTTGTACGGTGTTAGTATATGGATATTTGAACGAACTTTTTTATGGGTTGGGATGAGAAGAAGGATTGCTGCAATTCAAGCAGCAGTCAGCGTGAGGGTCGGTCGAACTTTAAGAATGGTTATTTTGCAGATTGATTTGGATTATTTCGATTATCCATCCCTTCTGTCAGCCAAAGATATCGCCGTCTTCGGGACATTCTGTGCGTTGGCCACATTCGAACGTAGTGAGCTGAAAGAAAAAGTGCTCGGAAGTGTTCTCTTTCGGAAATTTCTCGAATCTGAACCAAAATTGGTGGAGCTGTTGCAAAAGTTTTGTCGAAGTGAATTTGGTACATGTCTTGATATCATGGAAGAGGTCAATTTCCATACGCTCTAATTGGATCATTACATATGCATTTGAGAGAAGTATTTCCAAACCGCATCTCAGATTGAACTAGCAAGAAGAACTGAGATTTCTTTTACTTTAGATTTCCACTCAATCAGAATTTCAGTGCCTAGAAAATTGCACGCAATTCATCTTT